TTTTTTTAACACACTTTGAATATATTTCGAAGATGCATTAGTTGCTACATGTCTTTTAGTTGCCGAGCGTGCAAGTTAAAAATCAATGCAGAGCGCCTCAGAAAATAATTGCGAACGCTTCCGGCTGGCTTTATTGACTAAAGTCCAACAGGAAGCTGGCCACCTAACATTACCTGTTCAATTCTGAAATTCTGTTTCACACGCTGCTCTATTCTACGTCCGAGAAAAGTAATGATCGTATTGATCTAACAAAGTCAAATTTGGACGCAAGTTTCGTGTCACTTTCAGGTCAAATAAATATTAGATCGTGTCGTACGAAATTCGGTTTTTTCATATAAAAGATCGTGGATATTTTTGAAAATTATCCTCAAATAATTATTAAGTCGTTTCGTACGAAACTCGGTTTTTTCATATAAAAGATCGTGGATGTTTTTGAAAATTATCCTTAAATTTTGTCAAAACGGGTAGCATTCGCATTCAAGAATTAATGAAAAAATACCATTTTGGTTTTTAGAAGCGACGAGCAGAGTCTCTGATCCCAAAACTTCCGAAAATGTGAAAATTTCGATCTAATTTCCTCTTTATGAGAAAAAGCACAAATTACCAGGATAGAACATATCGAGAAAAATAAATTCGAGATTCATTAGAAATCACCTGAATACGGAATATAACAAGCTTTCCAAAGATACCAACTGAACAAATCGACATGATCTTCTATAATACTAAACAAGACTTTAGTTAATAATTTTTCCTCTTATTAATAATTTTCCTCTAGTTCTTGATAACAAACAAAGATATGACAAACAAAAATTCATTAAATTTAATTATTTCATATAAAAAAGTTTCACTAAATTTAATATAAATCTAATAAATAATAATGGTAATGTCGAATAAATTAATATTCACCAGTTTGAACGTATAATTTATAAATTATAAAATTAAAAGTAATGTATAACTTTCTAACGTTTGATTTTGTTAGTAAATTTATAACAAAGTAAGTAATAATTGAATTGAATCTTCTAAAATCCCAGGAGAGGAGGCAGCGATTTTTGAAAACTCGATGCGTCTCCTCGCTGTCTCAACGAAATTAGACTCGTCGTGCGAATTTTTCCACCGTCGAAATTCGCTAGGCGCGAGCAGGACGTAATTCGCGACAGATCGTCCTTGCGCGACGTAATCGCGAAATTATGTCACACGTGAACGCTGGACTCCAAGCTGGGACATTACGTCATGGTACGCGATGGTTTGAAAGCGAGCGGACACGCCGCGCTACAGCGTTACATATTTGGAAGATCGTACGATCGCGGCGAGATCATCATGCAAAAATGAACATCGCGACGTAGATAAGACCGAGAGGCCAAGGATCCGCGGCGAGTTGCAGGCCCGGGGCCCATTCGAGTGTCGAGTCACCTTCTCTCAAGTACAAGCTCACCTACTTTCTTATTTCAAAATCATTTCTTTTTTTTATCTTCCTCATTTTCTTTTTTTTTTTTTTTTTCTGTCGCTGGAAACTGTTATACATACGGGGCGATCCAACAATTCTCCTGTCAATGGTGTTTCATGGAATATGTTTCTGTGAAATGTACAGAGCGACCCGGACCTGGTTTAGAAGAATCTCGAGATTCGAATGAAACCACCGTTGTAATCTTATCTGCAACGCTATTTATAGTTGTGCTCGAATTTCGAAGAAATTCGAACGAAGTGATAACCCCTGAGGAGAGAGAGAGGGAGAGAGAAAAAAAAGAAAGAAACGCTTGTGTCATTATCGACGATTAATTCTCCGACAAAAAAAAAAAAAAAAAAAAAAAAAAAAAAAAAAAAAAAAAAAAAAGAGAAAAAGAAAAGAAAAGAAATTGACACGTCACTGATTCAAAAACTGATTGGTTGAGGTAACCGACGATCCTGAAGCGAAAAAATTCCAAAGAAGATACCTTGACACGCGATTGAAAACAAGGTGACTTGTCACAACCAATCACGTAGGTGGTATTAAACTGATGCATTAATGCAACAGTGACCTTGATTCCGCGTATTCTTCGCGATCGTGGGTGGAGGCTGAACTGCGGACTCGCTTTTTCCTTCTGTTACATAAATCTTTGTTGTTCAAACGTTCCAGAGCTCGATCCTGGTTGATTCGAGTTACGCCGGAGGCTTCTGTTGAAAAAAAAAAAAAAGAAAAAAGAAACGTAACTTTCGTCTTTCTCGACGAACAGCCCCGGTTCGTTGGATTGGAAGTCGCAAATATTTTTCGCGAAACACTTTGCCTGCTCCAACTGATGGATTCCTGGAAGGAGTCGAAACCGTACGGAAATGGGGAGGAAATAAAAGTTTTATTTTGGAGGGAAACAGCTCGGACGCGTTGGGCTAATAAATCAACGATCTCTTGGTTTCGTTTATTTTCGCGATCGAAACAGCGAACGTTTCTAAGTTTAACTATTAGGTCGTGTCGTGGCGTGAAACGTCGGATTTGCGGCCATTCGAGACGTTTCAGCGTCGGTTTGTTCCGTTGCTGTTCTTTTGATCGAAGATCGTTTGGTATCTTTGGAAACAATCTTCGATCTTGCGTCTAGAAAATGGTGCTTCATTCGTGAATTTTGAATTCTATTCCTTTTTTTTTTTGGTGTGTTTGCTCATTCGTGTTTCTTTGTTGCGAATTTGAACTTAAATCAAATTGTTCCTTGTTCCTCAGATTTTTACCTTTGCGGAAGTTTAGAGACAGAGTCTCTACAATTCGAAGCTTTTTTTAAAAATGGGCGTTCATTTTGATCGAAAGTCGAAAATAATTTTCTCAGACACTCCAACGCGAGGTATTTCACCACTTGCGCTGGCAACTGATTGCGGACCATAACGAGTGGCCGAATCGTATACGATAATTCGTCACTTTTTTTTCGAACTCGTCGGTATGATATCACTTGATAGAAATTATTGAGAAGTAATAAATTGATTATTTGCTTTGCCCGGGTTATACTTAAATATACATAAAACTGAGAAAATATTGCAATTTTGGGACAAAAAAATTCTCGACGTGCGTGGCACGAGATAAGCTGCTGAAAACTAACCTCAAAGTTGATCGTCCGTATTTGACAGATTTTGTTAAATATCTCCGGAAATTGCCGAAGATACAGTTTTTTTTTTGTAAATTAACGAAATTAGTGTTTTCTAACGAGGAATTTAACTGCGTGTACCATTTTGCAAAAAAATCATTTGTTTAAACAATACATTAAAAAGAGTCGTTGTGACTTCACGTGTCGTCATTTTTCATTACTGTAAGGTGGCTCGTGTCATTTTCAAAAAACGAAACAAAAAAATTCGCTCACGTCGAAAAGCCAATTTCAACGTGTCACGTCATTCCAGTGCAAGAGGTCAAATAAAAATCCGACGAATTTCGTCTCCGAACTTCGACAAAATCTAATATTTCTCGCAAAACAGTGTCACACTGATTGTGAGTTTCGCTGTGCAAAGTTACGTAATTGCGAAAACGCGACAAATGTGAGAAAGAGCGAAAGATAGCGGTAGAGATTAGAAGTGTCAATTGACAAAGAACGCGAATATGACATATTTCGCGTGGTTAAGGCTTAAAATAACTTTCGAACACTTAACCACGGTGCAGGTTTCTCGCGCGCCAGTTTAAAGCCGCTTCCACCAGCGAACTAGGATACTTTGACGTAAGCTACTCCGGTTAACTAAGGTTAACGCTCGAAATTTCTAAATTCGACTGTTCCAACAAACATCGGCGGAGCACCTGAATAATCAACGACCGGGCGAATAACCCGCGGGGAAACACAAACGCGGTCGCGTCATTTTTCGAGAGATGTATGTGTGTGTGTGTTTTCTCGCATACAAACGTACGTTCCCGTTCTAACACGAGTAAGAAGGTAAGACAACAATTGTGAAACGACGGAAGCACGACGAAGAAAGAGCACGTGCCTCGCGTGTGGTTTTTCTTCGAAAAGCTGGACGCTGACCGATTCTTAAAGTCTCGTTGACACAGGCAGAACGACTTTTTGCCCCGCGAGACGGACGCGCGCGGAATTCCATCCTCCTTCTCTCGCGCGTTATTCAAACAGGCGACGTCCTTCGGGACGCAGCGGCGTAAGTTATTCAGAAATTAACGCCACGGTTAACGAAGCAACAATCACAGTCGTGAGAAAGTTCCAGAAAGCGTCGCGGAGCTCAGTTATTTATTTCATTTATCTCGAGATCATGTTGTTACGACAGTTGCGACGGCATTAACAAAATTAAAATGTTGACGTATAAAAATATGAAAATGGAAGATGAAACTTTATTTCATTTATTTCGAAAATGAACCCTGTTGCTGCGCGTGACGATATAAATAGAATTAACCAAAAAGTTGATGTATGCAGATGTAAAAATGAAGATGGAAATGAAGTTTTGCTTATTTCGCTAGCTGCGATGATACAAATAGAATTAACCAAAAAGGTAATAAAAATAAAAATATATAAAAATATAAATATATAAATATATAAATATATAAAAATATAAAAAATAAATATATAAATATAAAACATATAAAAACATAAATATATAAAAATATATAAATATATAAATATATAAACATATAAAAATATATAAAAATATAAATGTATAAATATATTAAAATACAAAATAAATAAAATATAAAAATAAAAAACAGCGATAAAGTAATTAAACTAAAATAAAAACAAAAAGAGTAACTCCAACGCAACTGTATCACAGCGCTGATATTGATAGCAATCGTAACATTATATCATAACATTAATCGTAACATTAACAATATAACATGCTAATTGACCAAAAGGAAACAAATGATCGCGTATTTAGTTATTACAAAAAATTTACTACACCAAAGTTTACTACCACCACGCTGGTGGTTGAAACATAATCATGAAAACATAAATGAGAGATGTTAAATGCTCAGATGACATACAGAATAAATAATAATAATTACATTTACAGATTTTAAGTTCGATTTTTATTCAGTTACTCTTTTCATCTCGTTACAGCTTTGCAAAGATCCGTACAAATGCGATTGCAGAGGGATAAAAGGTGTGCCAGGTTTCCCTGGTATCGCTGGGCCCCAGGGACCGGAAGGACCACCTGGTGACATCGGTCCCGACGGGCCACCTGGTCCGAAAGGTGAGAAGGGCGCCGCTGGAGAACACGGTGCCACCGGAGAGAAGGGTTACAGGGTAAGTAATCAAAGCAATTGCCACCGCCGATCAATTCTACGATCATTCAACCGCATATATATCCGTGAACAATAATCTCAAAATCGTGCTGATTCGCATTGTAGTGCAGCATCGTAGGTCATATATTGTTGTATCTTTGGTTGCATTTAATTACAACAGATGGCCTGTAGTGTGAAGAAATGCGTGAAAGAGAAAGAAAGCATGAACAATGATGGTTTTTCTTTTTGAAAACGAGGAAAGTCGAGTGAGTTGGAAACGGTGTCGATTAGAGTTGCGAGGAAGCGTCGATCGAGTTGTTAGAAAAAAAGTTTATTTGAGTTGACCGCATACGTTAGTTGTCAATGTCTGTGTTCTTTAGCTCAAGTTGAATCGCTGGCATCGTTACGAAATAGATTTCAATTACATTTAATTCTCTGCAACAACGAAATAGAACAGCGGAAGAATGACGTTGTTCGAAGTTTCTGAAAAAGAAAGTCGAGTCATCATTTAAAAATTTACGTTCATGATTACCCGGACACGTGTGTGCATAAGCCGACAGAAGTCGTATCGCGTTACGTTCGAATTGAAATATACGGCTGCTTAGACACGATTTCACAGAGGCAGAATTTTTAGCAACTGACGCAATTACATCGTAAAATTCTTAATGAGAGCCACAGACGCCTCCCTTCTTTTTTTTATCGCCATGAGTCAAGCCCGACGTCATGAACGTACTATTAGAAAATAATGTTAAACAGAAAAACGAAGGAGTTACGCGAATCTGTAATATCGCAGCTGTTTGTTAATTGCTTCCGCAGTTCCTAAATTTGCCTAAATTAACCGAAGTGTTTATTCTTTCCATGAGAGAGGGCCATGAACTACAGTCTTCGTTGTGACGTTCAAACAGCACAAATTGAAATTTAATACGAAATTTTTAAAACGCATCATACTTAACACTAAACGTATGGTGCCTTTAAATGGCACTTATTCTTATGGTAACCGGTCCAATGATTATGAAATAAATGACTGTGAAATAAAGATCTTTATCTATCGAAATAAATACAGCCAGTTGTCAATCTAATATGCGAAATAATGCACGAAATAACTTTCACATAATTACAAATATATTCTCACTTTTAAAACGAGAGTTAAACGAACGAAAGGAAATTTGAACAATTTACAACAGAAATTTCACGAGCAAAATTTCGAACGGATCGTTTTGACCGGACGTTGGTACGTTTAGCGTTTAAAATTAAAAATGAATCTCTATTAAATATTCTGTTAACAAGATTAACAGTTAGAGTAACTAAGTTTAATAGAAACTGCGTGGCAAGATAATTCCCTTTGCTTGTCGAGCTGACGAGGATACCAGGCTGTTGGATTTTCGATAAAATTATTGCACAATACTTGCACAAAGATTCGAAAGGGAGAGGGGGGGGAAGAGAGGGGGTACTGTGGGGAAAAAAGCACCATGGCGTCAGCGGCCAGAAACGGAGCGTCTCCAAATGCAAATGGAGGACGAGAGAGAATTACCAAGAGGAACTCCCACGAAGTCCGCCCGCATGCTCGACACTCTCGGCACACAGAACTGCCGCGAATTCTTTCGCAATCCCTCGTATATCGATACGACTCGACAAATACACGTCGCCGGACGGTACAAACGATAGTCCTAGAGAAGAAACAACGATTTCGAGAGAGGAGACCACGAAAATCGTTGCGAACCGTATCCAATCACTCTGGTTCAAGCCACGTTGCCATCATCAACAATTACGATTGTCGAGCGCTGCGGTCGAGGGTCGAACAAGTTTTCAAATGGAAGACGATGGAATATGGTCGGGGGGGGGGGGGCTTGTAACATGGTCGATGACAAATAGAAATTGGTATCGGTACGACGCTTGTTTCGGGTGATCGTTACATTTCGAGAAAAGCGCGAGAAAATTGATTCGAACGTGAAAGGATGCTGTAACACGTATTGTTACAAACAATAGTCGAGAAACGTGTTGCAAAAATGCAATTCCAGTTGTTTAAGTTTGTAACGTGTACTTATAAATATCGTATGTTGTGTATTAATATAATATTACATACAGATAATATTAACTGTATTAATACAGATAATATTATACATAAATACAGATAATATTAACTGTATTAATACAGATAATATTATACATAAATACAGATAATATTAACTGTATTAATACAGATAATATTATACATAAATACAGATAATATTAACTGTATTAATACAGATAATATTATACATAAATACAGATAATATTAACTGTATTAATACAGATAATATTATACATAAATACAGATAATATTAACTGTATTAATACAGATAATATTATACATTAATACAAATAATATTATACATTAATACAGATATTATTATACATTAATACAGATAATATTAACTGTATTAATACAGATAATATATAATACAGATAATATTAACTGTATTAATACAGATAATACATAATACAGATAATATTATACATTAATACAGATAATATTATATATTAATATATATAATATTAATTCTTCAGAATAATTAGAATTAATTTCAATTATGAAATAAATCTTCGCCTATTTCATCTTAATCGAATGATTTTTTTAAATAAATCAAGCTGTTACGTACGATAGAAGGCTGTTATTTTTCGTCGTTGTGTTTCGTTCCGAAATTCAGTGAAAGAAACGAGGTTGCACGAAGAACAGAGGATGCAGCGACCGGGTGATAAGAGACTTTATCGAAACGATGCGAAACGAACGCTGAGAACATCGCCGCCTCACCGTTCCACAGTGATCCCCCTTAATGAACATCTATCAGTTCGCGGCGAGATAAGAGTTTACGAGTGCGTTTTTCTCTTTTTTTACGACACGCGCGGATTGCATCTTCACATCGGGACGCCAGCGAGACTCGAAACGAGTCGTCCGGGTGACGTCATGGCCCTTTCTGGTACCGCTATATCCAGCGACCTTTTCGACTCATTCCAACGTTGCCAGTACCTTTGCTTCTGCTCTCTTTTTTTTTTTTTTTTTCTTGTCATAAACGAAATAAACGATGATTTTACTGAACACGCTGCTAATAAATCGTCCGGCCATATACAGCGAATCCCATTAATATACGAAATGTTGGAATTGTCATAATTTCAAGCTCGTTTCGAACCTTGAAACTTTTGTCTTTCTTTGAAAAACGGCGAAACGTTCTTTTTCACGAACTGAATTTACGATGGATAATTTGAAGATCGAAGCCTCGAAACTTGTATAATTTTTTTCTCCAATTTATCGAATGTTAGATGAAAATGTTACAATTGTTTTTATTCAAGCCTAACATTCAAAGTTCAATAAAATGGTAAAGGAGAAAATCGTATGTCAAATTGGAAAGGAAAAAGTCATCAGTCTTCAAATCAATACAGATCTGCTAGATCTGATCAAGAAAAAAATTTTTCAATGTTTCTACGTATATATTATAACAATTTGTAATACATATTTTCAGAAAGAAAAACGTTTTCACTTCTCCATCCGCTAATGTAGAAATGAACGAGACATTCCGAAAGTGAAGGCTTCGAGCTTTAAAATGAGTACAGGTCTATTGTTGTACTGAAGTCATAATAGTATAAATATTTAACGTTCGAACGTCAATGAGAGTCGTTTTGCCTTCTAATGATGATTGAATCGTCGGTGACAGAATACTCGAAGGATTGTTCTTCGAGTCTCGCTGGTAACTATGGAACAAATTACAAAGAAAATCATCTGCACGACTGATACAATTGCGAATAAAAGTTCTCAAAACCCAGAGAGCAACGAAACGAGTTTTCCCACGCAACGTGATTAAAATTGCATTAGTCGTCGAATTAGCAAGTGAAATATCGTATATAATAACGCGCGAACGACAGCAAATTCACGAATGAAATATAATACGCAGCTCCTTCGTAAGGTGGTCTTGTTTCTTTTTTTTTTTTTTTTTTTTTCATCGCGCGCCAATACTATCTGAACAACATCGACTCACAATTGAACGTAGGAGGAATAACGAACTCGTACATTTCCACGATCGTAGAAACCGTCGTGCGTCGGCCTTCGCGACAATAGAGCGAAGGACACGCATAACATTTCTCATTTGCTCGAAGACACTCGACAACACGAGCGCAGAAACGACACGCCGAGGCGCAGAAAATTTCGTGCGGCCCGTAAATGTAAATTTCACCGATATTATCTGCCTTCAAGAAAAAAAGTCATCAGCCTACACTAAAACATTTCAACTTCGTCGAAAACCACGCCAGCGGAGGAGTGGCCATTGCAATTTCGGACAAATACGAATTCTACTGAAATCCCATTAAATTCAAACTTAGAAGAATGCCACACCACAGAATCCCAAAGACAGAAATACGGTATCAACGCAAACATAAACCTGACTTCTCAAAATGACATACAAAGAGTATTGAAATATCTCAAAAACATAAACTACGTACACACATATCTAATGGCACCGTCGCTGTCGATGCGACATTAAAGAAAAATAGAAGAAGAAGAAGAAATTTCACCGAGTTGATCGTCGATTTCACCCAGCGATCGTAAATCTCCGGATACCATTCGCCGTGGCGAATCGTAAAGTCGAGGCTGACGTGCTCGATTAACCCACGTTACTCGCGGATAAACGATCTTCTTCAGCGCCTTTAATTTCCCGGCGTGGCGCTACGTATTCAGTTCAATTCGCGCGAGGATCGCAGCTTCGAGGATCATTCCGCGCGCGCGAGAACACGCTGACGTCATGGTCCTTTCTGGCGAACGGATGCTGCGTTGCTCGGCAAGCGGAAAGAATCAACGCTCCTCCTCGACGATGCGATTCTATCTCGAGGAACGAGACTGTCTAACACGCAGGATTAAGAATAAAGAATTTTTTAGAGAAACAAGTTTATCAGTTATTTCGCGATGCAATTTCTAAGAAACTGTAAACATTGAGTTGGAATTCAGTTGTTGTTCAATTTGATAGTGGACCAGTCAGTTGCACTAGTGTGAATTTG